ATTTGTTGGAGAGAGGGGCAGTAAGTCCATATTCAACTTTATTTTCATCTTGTTGCTTTCCCTTAAGCTTCATAGGGCTGTATGGATGAGAAATGCAAGCACTATTATGTCCTGCATAGAGACTATAATTTATCCTCCCCTTATTGATGGGCTTATACAGTTTGTCAGAATCCATCAACTCAACAGATCAGACTGAATTACTTTGATGACTGACAAATGGGTGCCACTCATGGTGAAATGAAAATAGCCAGGTATGTGTGCTTATTAAGTACTCTTCAGTAGCAGAAATGTGTTTTACTGAAAACTCTCATCCATGCTATTTTTGTAGAATCAAGAAGTACCATCTTCTTTTGGGAAAACAATTATTTTTCATGAGATTCTGAACTATTACAATAAAAATTTGGAACCATAATGTGTTATAAAGATCATTTTTTTTTCTCATTCATATGCACGCACAATGGAAACTTGTAATAAAAACTAGAGGAGACAGAACCAATACTATTGGAGCTATGTGTCTTTGACTTTCCAGGGCTGCCCAATTTATGCAGATAATTAAAAAATTCAATTCAATTCATTAAATTGACAACCAATAGTTTAACATATAAGAATTTTCATATAAATAAATTCACAAGTCAGATAAAAACCTTTTGTCAGATCATGTTTTCTAAGATTTGGGTCAGAAGCGAATGCACACCGTGTTGATTGGTTGTATTATTTCAGATTTTTATTAGAAGTACCTAATGGTTAGTTGTTAAAGTATGGCATTGTCTAGATTTGCATATCAACAGGAACAGCAATAATGACTCATTTTTATTGAATGCTTACTATATACAGATACTGTGCTAGATATAATGGGAAGCAAAAAAAAAAGGGATACTGTCTTATGTTAACAACAACCTGTGAAGTAGGTATAGACAAAGAAACAAGTTCATAGTGCTTAATAATTTGTCTAGCTCTGTCTAAGTGGCAGAGCTAGAATTATATGGCTGTGTTTGTTACAGCAACCTAACCAATGTGCAGGTTAAGAGACTCCAGAATATAATGGCTTAAATAAGCTAGAAGGAGCTCTCTGACAGAGTAGAGCTGTCATATCAGCTCTGGACTGCTTATGCCTAGATTGTTGTGTAAGGGTGAAATGAACTTCCATCTTACTACTCTCTGCTGCCCCTGGGTTGACCTCATCCATACATCTGAAGATACGTAAATATTATCTTTAAAGGCATTCCCTAGATGTTGGATTCCTAACTTCTGCTCATATTCTGCTAGCCATATTAGCTTTAAGGAAAACCTGGAATTAATAGTCTTTGTGGCCATGTACCTCTCAAAATTCAGGGGTTCTATTAATAAAGGAAAAAGGGGAGAAGCAGGCAATTGGCAGTCTCTACATTGCATGCTAATTAAGAGCATTGTTTCCAAGTGGAGTTTTGGCCACAGACTTGAACAAGTGACAAATGATCTCATGACTTTGGGATATGCCTACATCCATTATTCATTTCTTTCCATGTGCATGTGTATAGTTTGTATGATATATTTAGATATTCAAAATGTGTGAGACGACATGATTATTACTTGATTCTACAGTAGACTCTGGTCATCTGCAAGTGCTAATTCAAAATTTCACAGTAGGAGAAGCCCACTGGCTTTAATCTTTGGCAGGAAGGCTTGCAAAACCCCCAGGATTTGTCTTGCTTGCAGTCTCACTCTCAAGAAGATCTCAAACTCAAAGATCTATATTGTAAGCAATGTGTTCTTAGAGAAATGGTTTAATAGATGGCATGTATTCAGTACATAAGTCTATAAACAACACTGGCCCAGAACTTCAGAGTTTCCTGGAATTCTTGGTCTATTCTGATAAAGTTAGATATTTACTATAGAAAAATCAATTCACAAGTATTTATTGAGAATATACTTAGATAGTAGGTATGTGGAGATGGATGGACCCACCGAATTTACCCAGGTATCTCCTGGGGCTACAGATACTTGGAGGAGATAACCACAGGCTAGATCTCAAGTACATATCCATATATTCTTATTTGTTACCTGAGTGCTCCCCCCATACCCCCAAATCTAATGCAGTCTCTCATGAACTCAGCTCAGTGTGGAGCTGCTTGGAAATATTGTGTCTTGTACGGATAGGCCTCCTTGGTCCTTCTCTCCCAAGTATAGCTCTTTAGATCCCACTTCACTAGTGGCTAGATGAGACAGGAGAAAAACATAAAAGAAAGATAAAGGTTTAAGTTAGAACTAGTCTAATTAGTCTCCCCAAGGCTTTAATGGCGGTGGGGGTTGGGGGTGGGGTGGTGGTTGGGCTGATGTTGGGAAGCATCTCCCAAGTGAGAGGCAGTTCCAGACCTATTTTGCCTCACTGGCTACATGGAAGTACAGAGAAGCAAAGAGAGAGAACCTCAAGAGACAAACTCCAAACAGACCACAGCCTACAGAAGACAGAACTTTAACCTTTCCTCTCATTATACCTGAAGCTTCACTCCCTTTTAAGAGGTTTAGTTGAGTCCAGTAACTTGATTCAGTCACCTTGTCTCTTTTCCTCCATGGGAGTGGGGCTGGGAAATGGAGTAAGGGTAGGGAGAAGATGGAAGTGGAACTTTGCTCTCCCACTAGAGGTCAACATCAAGTGTTTTGGAGGCACGTATAGGACGTGGCCTTTCTCCCAGTTCTCAAAGAATTGTCTGTCTAGGGAGCTAATGAATATGAAAAATTTAGCGAGAACCAAGTACTTAAACTGCGTGATATTGTTTATTCCAGAGGAATTCAAATAAGGGATAAGTCAATGTGGATTTGTTTCTTGGGGGAAGCTTCTTAGATCTTGTCACAAATGAGGTGATTAAGAAGGCAGAGATAATTAAAGAAGGCAGAAAGAGAGGATGAACAAAAATTAAGAATGAGCTGAGAGGGCAGTAGACCTGTGTGCCTTAAGCGGAAAATTCATGTTAGAGACTAGGAAATGAAGTAGAATAAGAAAGTGGAATACTTTAAAAATTAGGCAGGGGTTAGGCTATATGCAGTCATGTAAGATTTTTTTTTTAAAAACTAAGTTAATGTTAACTAATTTTTTATGAAATTAAGTGAGGATAAATTCATAAATGACCAACAATGAATTAATAAAAGGTAGATATTATAAAAATATAGTGTTAGAATTTGTTTAGGGTGGGAATAGGGGGTTCCTATGCAGGATCTCAACATAGGTTGCCAAGGAACAAGATGAAGTCAAGACTAGATATATCAGGGATTGGGAGCCTGACTGCCCTAGCGTTAGCCAGTAATCCTAGTGTTAGCTAGTAATCCAGTCCTCAGTGACCAAAGGATGTGATGATCTTGGTATTGGTTTGGGAAAAATATTGGATCTGAGGAGATTCAATTCAGCGGGAGGTTGGAGCCACTAAAATATAGATAGCAGATGAGATTCAGAGTCAGGAATGGTGGCATTGTGGCAATGGCAATCATCCCAGCTGGATCCCAGCTAGCACCTGGAGTCCTGGAATAGGAGCTGGGGCGGGGTTGGATCAAGGCCCTAGTCAAGTAGAGTTAGGTTTGGGGCAAGGCACAAGGCATTGTAGGAAATGGGAAAGCTGGTCAGGGTAGAAGCCAGTTCTGAAGATTGGCTGGAGTTAGATGGGAAATAAAGGGAGAAATAATGAAGCAGTGTAGAGCAGACTCAGTGAAATTCAGTGCATTTGTGGCCAAAAAAAGAATTCCAGTCCTTCAGTCTGGTGGGCTGAGGTTGATTCTCTTTTGCCTGCCTGATGAGAGTGGGCTGAAGATCATAGCTGCACTGAACCTTTTAAATGAAGACTTCAGGGGCCCCAGCTCAGAGAGATCTTGGAATGAACAGCTGAACTAGAGGCCCAGTGGAGGCAGCATTACTTGGAAGGAGTCGAGACTACAGTAGAGGAGACCTAGGTGTAACTAGGAGGCTGTCATATTCCAGAGTGTGGAGAATAGAGTCTGACTAAGGGGGAAGGATTTAATAGAAATTCAGAAGAAAAGGGGATTGAAAAAGACATTTTAAATTAAGAAGTAGTAGGCTTCAGTGACAGGTTTGTTATAATTGATAGAGAAGGAAGAACCTAAAATGATTCCAAATGGATTTTAAATGCTCATGTGGTATGACATTTAAAATGAACTGAAGGACATTTTAAACACGTATGCAATTGCTTTTGGTCTATTTTTAAAAACTCAAATTAGTAAATTGGCAAATAAATTAAGAGTGTTAAGGCTAAGCTTGTTTGTTCATTGGCTTTGCATCTCACTGCAGTGGGTCTGTAATGGGACATTCCAGAGAGACAGTAGCCCTTGAGCATGTGAATGAATAGAAATGTTTCTTCCAAAGATATCTATCTTTCCTGGTCTAAGATAGTGTTACTAATATATGTATGCTTGGGTATGACTGAAAAGCCTAAGGTGGGCCTACCTGGATCCTTTCATGCTTCTCTCATGGGGCCTTTGTCGCTGGAGTTGATGTTTAAAGTGTTCTTTTGAGCCTCTTTTATCCACCTGGTTAGCTCAGAGCCTTTGCGGAAGAAAGTGTGCTCCTGCCCCGCCAGATTGCTTCACAATAGGCTTCTTTATCTGCAGCTGTTGTTTCCCAGCTATCTACTTTGGTGCTACATGATGGGACACAGGCAGGGACTTATACTGTTTATGAGGGGAGAGGTGTGCGACCTCAGCAGGGATATTATTCCTGTTTATCAAGGCAAGGAAAGAAAATACAAAATCTAGGTAGGGAAACCTCGTTTTCAAAATGCACAGATATTTGGTATTTCTGCTTTTGTTACTTCTGGATGTGCACCTGGAGGTGACATGGATTTCAAAGTCACTATTTAAGGTAAGGAAAGAAAACTTTTAAACATCATTATCACCATAAAAGATCTTGGTTATATTTTTGAAATATGAAGCTTAAAATATTAGCGATCAGCAAAAGACCAACCATTGTACTTCTGAGAAGGACTCGGATTAATAATTTGTTTCCATTTTGTTCACAGATATACTATCTGTAGGACAGGGGTAGACTGAATACCTGCTTCACTGAATCCCTGCTTCAAGTCATCTTTCACATTTTCTTGTTTGGAAGAACAACCGTTGGGGAATCACCTTGTTACCATCAGCAAAAATGAAAACAAATCCAGACATTAAGAATGCCACCGTGGTCAGCAGTTAATGAAGCCAGCGTTACACAAGCAAGCTTCATTCAGCAAAGGAAGTTTTCGAGACAGTGCCTCCCTAGCCAGAAATCAGGAAAGACTGAACTGATTCTGGTCATCTCAGCTGCTCCTTAAATCACTGCAAGCCTTCCAAATTAATGCAAATTGAAACATGCATTGCTTTTTCAGCTTACTTGAGTACTTGCTATGTGTAAATCACTGTACAAATAAGATGTGGTCCCTGCCTTCAATGGATTTACAGTTAGTTTCAGTGCATTTTTTTTTGGGGGGGGTCTTCTGTTCTTAATTAAGTGTGTCTCTAAGACAGCAAACAAATGAAAAAGTGTTCTGTAAGCATTTTAAGTTCCTTTACTAGAAAAACAAACAAACAAAAACTAATGTGGGCAACTCAGGACATCTTAGTTCTATTTTTTTGCACTTCTAATAGATAGGATCCATTTTGTTGATTCCATAAATATTCAGTAGACTTGAAAGATATTAACACATTATTTGGATTTAATTTGAATCAAATTCTTTTTCATTCTTTAGGTGTAGATTGTTGGAAAATATGTTGTGTTTGTACATTTCTTGAGAGGTGAATTATATCTGTTGTCTCAGTAGCCTCAAATTTCCATGCCCTAGGGACCTACCTGCCATTCCCTATGAGTTAATAGCATCCTGGAGAAAGGGAAGGTTTGGATCAGACTTGGGGGTCCCTGCTCATGCACCCAAGACAGGGCAGGGAAGGAGCCAAGTAGACCTGGACAATGGCTCTGTATGAAAATTTGGCTCTTTCAGTATTCATTGTGTTGTCTTCTGTGTTCTATAAGTTGAGTGAGTGACTATGTAGTTTTTCCAAAAAAATTGTTTCTTATCTTGGAGTAGGTCATGATTTTTCCAGTTTTAAGACACTAATGTGATTTTAGACACTAGACATTTAATATATTGTCTGTGACCCATTTTAGTATGTATGAGCCAATAATTGACATGTCTTTGTCTTTAGTAGTATCCATCGGAATTGAAAATGTGCCAGCTTTTTAACATTATCAATAGTCTTCTTAATTAAGCTGCCAATACATACTGCCAATACATACAATAGTACCGTGTGTCATATGAGAAATGAATTGTGTAAATGCTATTTCTCTCTTATTGAATAAACAATGTTGCTCCATATAAAATGGATTTCAAGTGTTCTTTGAATGGGACATTATATTGCTCCCTAAAGAATTTCATGAGAATTCTCATACCATTCCTTTTTATTTAATTTCTAAAATTTTTTATTTTGCTTCTCAATAAGGAATTGCTCTAATTTGACCAATAACTTTAGTTATAATGATTCATCCCTAATAGGATAAATAACCTGGCTCTCAAACTCATGATGGTGATATTGTGTATTTATAATCTCACTTTCATTTTGCATGAAATGACTTCCAGGAAATCTGGGTTATGAACCTACATCGTACTAAATTGTAGATATTTATTTTCTGTTCTGGGAGATTTTTGGGGGACGATTTCTGTATTCCTGGTGCCTAGCACAGTGTCTGGTACAGAATAGGTATATGTTCAGTAAACATTTGGTGATTAAGGCATGTAAAGTAGCTTTTTTCATCTATGGTTCTTAAGGCTCTGTGGAAGACAGGAGGTCTTGCTAGCAGAGTAGCAGCTTCATTGGTTTGTAGTTTACATTCAATCTACTTAGAATAAGTCCAAATCAGTTGAATACTTCATATACAGTCTAGTCCACTGAGCCTCTTAACACCACTGAGCCTGGTGTTTTGGATTCACCAGTGCAGCCCTGTGATTTGTACCAACATTCACTCTGCTTCCCCTGGCTTTTGCCCAACTCTACACAGGGGCTGGGCCTTTCGAGGGGCTGCTCCTCTTCTCCTGCTCCGGCTTTGTTCATCAATAGAAGAGCAATTGCTCTATTCACTGGGTACCCACCATGTGCCAGGTGCTGCACTAAGTGCTTTACACATATCCTTTCTCTTAATTATCTCATTTAAACCTCCCAACGACCATTTGAAGTAGGTATTATCCACTGCAGAGATACGTATCTTGCTTAAATCATGGGGATCTAAGTCCAGATCTCTCAGATTCCAAAGCCTGAACTATTAACCCCACCCTCTGCTGCATCCCAGGAGAAATTTGGGGGGAGGCAGATCAAATCTGGATGTAGTCCAGAATCACCGCATTTAGTATTCCCAAACAGCAAACTGTCTAACAGATAAAACACAGCAAATCACAATTGTTTTGAGAATGGGGGAAGGCAGAGCAATTGGGAGGAAGCAAAGTTGGGAACAAACCAGTCTGAGTTAAACCTTTAGCCTTTACCTCATAATGTTTCTGTTTCTTTTTTTTTTTTTTAAACTTTCTTTTTTTAACATGGCCTGACACCATGCGATAAATCAAAGCCTGACGTAATTGACCCAATACTGATCCCCAAATGTCTTCTGGGGAAAAATGCTTTAACTCTGGTTGTTGATTCTGAGGAATAATTGCCACCCTAGAAAGGTAATTACATATGCCATTGTTTATATACATAATAGGCTCAGAATGCATGTTCTACACAGAGAGGAAAAGAATCCTGCTTGCACATTAGGGGTGTGCACTGTGTATTGTGTCAGAATGCCACAAATAGCTTTTGAACTGTTCCCTATTACTGCCGATGTCCTCGACATGTGTGAGTGTGAGAGTGTGTGTGTGTGTGTGTGTATGTGTACGTGTGAGGGAGAGGCTGGCAGTGAGGAAGGGGATGGGCCACGAAAGCTGAAATGGCAGTGTTTTGCTTTTCCTTAATTTTTGAGTTTACCAAAACATCTTCTGGATCTGATTCATTTAGCTTGGTCTGGTAAAAAGATTGTTTTCTTTCTGCTCGGCATATGCGTATTAATGAGTTCTCATATTTCTTTCCATCAAGGGCTGTTTACTTTGTGGCAATATAAAGTGAGAATCCTTCTCCGCAACATCCTCCTAAATGCTCTGGTTTTGACCACCCCTTTAAGTAAACCAAACAACAGCTAGTGCCTTTCCTCTCCCTCACTATGCTTTCTGGTAAAACATAAATGGGATTTAAACCACAAATGACCAATTAAAGCATTTCATGCTTTTTTCCTTTAGCCATAAGACAGTAGTTGTCCTAAATAAATACAATAAACAGGCTATTTTGTGGTAGTCTAACCCTAACAACATATATATGTTTTTTAAAGCCAAGCTTCATCATAACAAAATGTCATGACTTTTTGTAGTGCTGCACAATGAAAGAAATACATATGTATTCCAATACGGAACTGAGCATTGTTTGAGGCTGAAGCAATTCATCCTAGGCTATTCTCTGCCGTAGTGTCCAGCAAATTGCATGACCTCCTTGTTAGGCTTGACAACAGTTTTTTACCTAACAAAGGCCTCTGCAGTGCCAAGCAGCAGTAGAATGTCAGAATGAGCACATTTCACACACAGATGTGCAGCCATAATAGCCTGTAAGAAGATGCATGTGGCAGGGAGCAAAGGGTGGGGGCTGGGTGCTTAGAGCAGTGTGGTGCGTGAGTGTGTAGGTTGGGGGCCAGTGGGCGGGGGAGGCCAACAGTTAGCAGGAGGGACATGGCCCCACTGACCACATTTAATCAGCCCTTTGTAAACAATTCAACATTTTCATTGTTCTCTAAAAACTAATAAAGAGAAACAAGCACTTTTCATTCATCTTGAAGTAATTTTCTGTCAGGTTGGAGCCCCTTGTGGCCTCCAGCTCATGCAATGCTAGCTGTGTGATACAACAACTATTGCAATTTATTTTACAAACTCTGGTCATTCACATGTCAGTTAGTGTTCACCAAGCCGGCATCTGAAATTGTGCAGTTAACGAGTTTTACAACATTTCTATCAAGAGAAACTGTTTAGCATAACTGACTCTTAAGGAGTTATTATACCTCTAAAAATCCATTTTAAGGGGCATTATTTAAATAAAATAGAAAAACGGTTCACTGCCTTTTAAAGGGGCTACAAAAAAAGTCCATCAGCTCCAGCGCAGTAATCCTCAGCTTAAAGCACTCTTGAGAGTACTTCTGGGAATTGTCAGCATAATGAAATGTTTTGTGAAATGTCCAGATAGATTCCTCTACTCAACAATTTTACTGCACCATATTTATTTTCCTTCCAGTTTTTAAAGAAGTGAATTACTTTTTGAGAGGATGGCTCTATGTTGTATAGATTAACTGAGCACATTATTACCCAGGTTGTAGCAGAAGTGATGGTTCTGTTTGCAGTGTCATCTATATGCCTCTGTAGACAGGGACAAAAAACGAAAGGCAGCTTTTCCCCCTTAGTGTTTTAGCTCCAAAGGGTTAAGTCACAATGAGGCTTATAGAGTTTCACATTTTCCTCGTGGCACATTTTTTCTCAGACTTTTAAACAACTTTGATACACAACGGCACCTGTGAATACTTGCTTTAAATGTTACAAAATGGACTCTGTTTTCTTAATAAATAAATAATAAATAAATGCAGGAAAACCGATATACATGTACATTGGCACATGCATGATTATGCATATTGTTTGAATCTGGCCCATTTCAATAGGAGATGCTATTGCACATTTTACTTAAGAAGAATAGATTCCTCACATTAACTGAGATGACCAATGACCCCAAACCAGTTAATGGCTAGAGTCCATAATGGAGCACTATATAGCATAGTGGCAAGTTCATTTAGCATATTATATTACCTAACAGAAGTAGAAGCCACCACTTGTAAAGTAAATGGCTTAATGGTTCTTTCTACAATGAGCAAGACCAGGAGAAAAATTACATTCTGCTGTAACGAGATATTCCATATCCTTAGGAGGTGTATCTATAACACGGCACATTTTCATTTTGCCACAAACGGTCCCCTAATTTCCTAGACTGATATTTGTGCACATGACTTTAATTTTCTGAGGGAGACAGGCAGGTGTTCTTGTGCCTGTTAGCTGTATCTGCCCATAAGAAGCACAGTAACATCCATGAACCAAATACAATTTGACATAATTCATGCCTTTATTACCTCCTACAGAATGATATTATTTCATGCTGTCACATTAATGTTTCTAGCACGATACTGTCATTTCTGGAAATTTTACCTCCTGAAGTTCAAATATTGAAGAATGGGTTTTAAAACCCTCTAACTGCCTTAGATTTGGGGAAAATACAACTTATTCCAAGGTCAGCTTTTTTACTCTGATATTTGGTGACACTGTAGATAATGATCAACGGGCAAAGATCATATCTGAAAACTCTCACCTCTCCTTGACCAAAGAGCTTGACCTAATATATTTCCATTTTTGCAAATAATATTTTGTCAACTTATCATGTTAAACTTTGCTACTGTTTGTTCCCCTAGTGATGTAGACTGAGGAGATGTTGACCAAAAATCTTTAAATGACTGAAACTTGAATCCATTTGATATAGTACTTAGATCTGTCCTAATACTCCAGCATTCAAAATTAGTTAGGGTGGATGGAGTGTATAAGTTTCCTATTGCTGCCGTAAAAAGTTACCACAAAATTAGTGGCTCAAAATAACATAAATTTATTATCTTATGGTTCTGTAGGTTAGAGGTCTCACTGAGTTAAAAATCACTTCTTGACTGGGCTGCATTCCATCTGGAGGCTCTGGGGGAAAATACTTTTCCTTGCCTCTCCTAGCTTCTAGCGACTGCCTGCCTTCTTTGGCTCATGGCCTCTTCCTCCATTTTCAAGACTAGTGATGGCGAGTTGAATTCTTCTCACATGGCATCTGTCTTACTCTCTTCCATCGT